TCCAGCAGATGGAGGCAAAGCTGGAAAGACTGGAAAAGAAGGTCGGGGAGAAGAATGACCGGGACAAACCCCTGGCAGGGTCCCCGTTCACCACAAGGGTCCATCTGACACCTTTCCCGCGAAAGGTCAAGATCGACGCCCCCAGATTCACCGGGAAGGAAGATCCGGAAATCCACCTAGACTTCTTCAACCAGAGTGCGACCATGAACGGTTGCACCGATGAAGAAAAGTGCCTACTTTTCTTCCAAACCTTGCGGAACCGAGCCACTGAATGGTTCAATAAGCTTCGCCCGGGAAGCATTGACTCGTTCAGTGATTTGGCCTCAAAATTCAAGGCCAAGTTCCAAGAGAATTGTACTAAGAGGAAGAAGTTCACCTATCTTAGTACAGCCGGGCAGAAGGAGTCTGAGAACCTCACTCAGTTCCTTACCCGGTGGAAGGAAGAGGTAGACAAGGTGGAAGAGATGGATGACAAGACCGTCCTCTCCCTACTCTTGAATGGCTTGCGTGCTGGGGAACTATATCAGGAGTTCTGTCGGAAACCCCCAGCCACGTACCAAGAGGCCTACCATACTGAATGGGAGTTTGCTGAAGCTGAAACCCAGCTCCGGGCAAAGAGAGAAGCTGAACATGGTCACAAGCCCAAGCCGGTGCAAGTCAAGAAGGAAGAAGCACCGGGACCTAGCCAACCGAGGCACCACTATGACCCGGTCATCCAAGTGGTCAATACGAAAGAATGCCAAGAAGTCCGGAAAGCACCGGTCATTCCTCCAGAAAACCCTACCGGTCAAGTAGGGCGGCAGTGGTCGGGCACCTATTGTTCGTACCACAGGTCTGATTTCCATAACACCTCCGAATGCAAAAGTGTTAAAGGGGTCATCCGGCAGATGATCGACAGTGGAGAGCTGGGCAAAGATTACTTGCAGAAAGCCCAGGAGAAGAGTCATCAGTGGGTTAGGCCAACTGCCCCAGGGAATGACCGGGACAAGGACCGGCGGAGGAATAACCGGGCAGGGGAGCGGCAACCTGCCCCCGAAAAAGAACACATCGGCATGATCTTCGGCGGACCCGAGGGTGGAGATTCAGCCGCGCAGCGGAAGAACTGGGTCCGGAGCATTTACGTGGGAGAAGTAAGTGCTGAACCGCCCAGGCGTAAACATACTAGGAGGGAGCCTATCGTCTTTACTGACCGGGATCTTCCTCCTACCGGTGAAGATCACAATGATCCATTGGTCATCACCATGGACATTAATGGGGTGGATGTCGCCCGGGTACTTGTTGACACCGGTAGCAGTGTCAACATCTTATACCTGGAGACCTTCTAGAAACTCAGGTTGTGTCGAACACAACTTGAACCCCTCAAAACCCTTCTCTCAGGCTTCACGGGGGATACCGTTGAAGCTGAAGGATCCATAGTTCTACCGGTCGAATTAGGATCAGGTGAAAAGACCGTGTGGAAGAAGATGCGGTTCATAGTTGTGGACATCAAATGCGTCCACATTGCAATCCTAGGAAGGCCAGGCATCAATAAAGTCGGGGCGGTGATTTCCATGCCTCATCTATGCATGAAGTTCCACACTCCAGGTGGTGTGGGTGAGGGGAAGGGCGACCAGAGGAACGCCCGGGAGTGCTATGCCCGGGCAGTCAAGAAAATGTCCAGGGGGGTCAATGTCATCTCCCAAGAGATCACAAAAGGAGAGACCCGGGAGAAACTGGAGCCCGAGGCTGAAACGGTGGAAATCGAACTTCACCCGGGTGATTCTTCGAGGATGGTCAGAATTGGAGCAAATCTCCCCGAGGATCTCAAGGAGCAGATTACACGGGTCCTCCTAGAATACGCGGGCATATTCGCATGGAGCGTGGCGGATATGCCCGGGATAGATCGCTCTGTTATCTGCCACCGGTTAGCCGTGAGGGAGGGAAGTTGACCGGTACGCCAAAAGAAGCGGTACCTGGCCAGTGACCGGCGAGACTTCGTCAAGAAGGAAGTGAAAGACCTCCTCAGTGTTGGTCACATCCGGGAAGTCAAGTACCCGGATTGGCTGGCCAACGTTGTCCTTGCTCCCAAGGGCGACACGTGGAGAATGTGTGTGGATTATACGGACTTGAACAAGGCTTGTCCGATGGATTCATACACCCTCCCCAATCCAGATCAAATGGTGGACGAAACTGCGGGGTGCGAACTCCTAAGTTTCATGGATGCCTTCAAGGGTTACCACCAAATCTACATGGCCAAGGAAGATGAAGAGAAGACATCATTCCTCACACCCGAAAGAACCTACTGCTACCGGGTAATGGCGTTTGGCTTGAAGAACTCGGGGGCAACCTACCAGCGCATGGTGAACAAGCTCTTCAAGCCACTACTGGGAAAGACCATGGAGGCATACGTCGACGACATGCTGATCAAAAGCCAGATATCTCTGAACCACCCGGCGGATATGCGAGCCACATTCAATATCATGGCAAGGTACAACTTCCGGTTGAATCCTAAGAAATGCGTCTTCGCGGTTTGTACCGGGAAGTTCTTGGGATTCATGGTGACCAAGAGAGGGATAGAGCCCAACCCAGAGAAAATCCGGGCTATCACTGAAATGCAAGCCCCTACCTTCGTTAGGGATGTTCAAAAGTTGACCGGTCGTTTAGCGGCCCTCAGCCGGTTCCTTTCCCGGTCAAAGTTCTGAAGAAGGCCAACACATTTGCATGGGACGAAGAATGCCAAAGTTCTGAAGAAGGCCAACACATTTGCATGGGACGAAGAATGCCGGAGGGCATTCGAGGAGCTGAAAGAGTACCTAGCGTCGGATATTGTATTGTCTAAACCCGAACCGGGTGAAACTCTGTATCTGTACCTGGGAATTTCCCCAAATGCTGTAAGATCCGTTTTAATAAGAGATGATGGGGCACAAAAGCCCATTTATTATGTGAGCAAAGCACTAAACGGGGCTGAGAGTAGATATACGGCGATGGAAAAGACAGCTTATGCGCTTTTCATCTCCGCAAAAAAGTTAACATCCTACTTCCAAGCTCACCCGGTAGAAGTCTTGACTGACCAACCGCTGGGTGCAGTGTTGCGAAATTCAACATCCTCCGGGAGGATGGTGAAGTGGGCGATGATGTTAACCCAATTCCACATTGAGTACCGGCCGAGGTCGGCAATTAAGGGACAAGCCCTTGCTGACTTCCTAGTAGAAATGACCGGTCTAACTTCAGACTTACCGGTCAACAAGCCCACTGAGCAATGGTGGGAGATGGCAGTTGATGGGGCGTCCGGTCCTAGAGGGTACGGGGGGTGGTATCGTGTTCACCACCCCAGAAGGATTCAAGATCTACCATGCAATCGTCTTCAACTTCAAGCTGACGAACAATGAGGCAGAATATGAAGCTCTGGCTGGAGGGCTCAGACTTGCCCAAGCCCTGAAAATCAGCCGGGTCAGTATCAAATCTGACTCTAGCCTGGTAGTAGGGCAGGTGACCGGTAACATGGAAGCAAGGGAAGGACGCATGACACAATACAAGGACCTTGTACTTGCCCTATTGAAAGACTTCGAAGAATTCAAGATCGCCCAAATTCCTCGGGCAGAGAATGCGGATGCAGACCTTCTCTCCAAATTGACGCAGTATGCTCCCGAGCATGTTTCGAAACTTGCCCGGGTAGAGATCCTTGACCGGTCAAGCATCGAGAAATTGGAAGTCGCCGCTATAACTGCCGGAAGCCAGTTTGACCGGTCAAACTTGGTCGGGGCGAACGACCATTGGATGAGTGATCTCATGGAATAATTGATGGATGGGAGCTTGCCGGAACAAGATGACCGGGAAAAAAAAGTGAAGCTCAGGGCACCCCGATTCCATATTCTTGATGGAAAGCTGTATAAAAGGGCATTTGGGGGCCACTCCTGAGATGTCTAACCAACCGGGAAGCTGAGCGAGTCATAGCGGAAGTCCACGAAGGCGTATGCGCGGCGCGTCATCTTGTTGGGATATTACTGGCCAACAATTGTCCAGGATTGTGAAAGGTACGTCTAGAAATGCAGGACGTGCCAAGTATTCTATAAGTATCCCGGTAGACCGGCGACCTACTACCACCCCGTATCAAATGTCATCCCATTCGCTAGATTCGGGGTTGATATCATTGGAGCCTTCCCAGTCGCCCAAGGAGGGAAGAAGTTTGTAATCGTAGCCATCGATTACTTCACCAAGTGGATCGAGGCCGAAACATTGGCCAGCATTACCACGCAACAATGCAAGAAATTCATTTGGAAGAAAATCATCACAAGGTTTGGAGCGCCCATGAACCTCATCACTGACAACGGCCCACAATTCCGAAATCCAAGATTCACTGAATACTTGGAAGGCTTCGGGATCAAGCACAATCGTTCCTCGGTAGCGTACCCCCAAGGGAATGGCCAAGTCGAAAACGCCAACCGAACGATTGTGGATGGTCTAAAGAAACGGCTGGGAGAAGCAGGAAGCAAGTGGCTGGAAGAGCTCCCACACATCGTATGGGCATTCCGAGTAACACCCAGGAGGGCTCACGGGGAAACTCCATTCTCCCTAACCTATGG